CCAAGTTCATTTTTTTTGCAGATTCGGGGTCCTCTAGGGTAGCGCAGCACAACCCTACCTTCCAAAAAAAAAATAAAAAATCCTTGCTGGGTTTTTGCGTCGCCCGGTTTCGCCGGGCGGACCCCCCCAGGCCCAACCGGCCGGGCACGCCTGGCCGGGCGGCGGCCCAGCCTAGCCAATAGTGAAATTCTCTGTAAATTGGTGGAACACTTTGCATCAACCTTCTAGTATTAGCCAAATTTGGTACATGGAAAACGCTTGGGCTAGATAAGAAGATTATGAAACCTAATGTTACTCTCGCAGATTGTTTCAGGTTCTTTTCAGGTTAAATTTCCATCTTCATGTTTATCAGCAGATGTTGCTTTGCTGAACAGTGAATGCCTTTTGTGCTCTGGTGTGCTGCATACAGTGCGTAGTATTTCTGTTCGCGGACCTGATTGCTCACCACGATGATGGTTCCGGGTTAGGCGCAGCACTGATTCTGACATCCCGACACTCTTGTCTTTGACTGACATGGACTCCTGCTGCAATTTTGTTTGTCGCCTGTTTTGAGTCCACAGGACGCTTCTTTGGTACTTCCTGGCAGATGCACTTGTGCCAGCTGTTGGAAACTGTGTCACGTACTTTCAGCTTGATGTGCTCAAGATGGGGGCTGCATTTTTGGGATATTCACGTGTGCTTGGATGGGTGGGGCTTATAGCTGCAACACTCATATTCAACCGCTACCTCAAGGGCGCAAGGATTCAACCATTTGTATGGTATGTTACTATGTTGTAATGTAATAATGTCCCCTTCACGTTTTCTTTTTGGTTCCTAAATCGTCTGACTGTACCAAGTCCACACGTCAACGTTTATGGATTTACGCATAAGGGTCCATGAAGTTGTATAAGCGTCAGTGGAAGTTCAAGATGACAACTATAAGAGTCCGTGGAAGTTCAAGATGACGACCATAAGAGTCCATGAGCAGTCGACCGGGGTTTCCAAATCTCTCTCTCTCTCTCTCTCTCTCTCTCTCTCTCTCTCTCTCTCTCTCTCTCTCTCTCTCTCTCTCTCTCTCTCTGTCCTTTCATTTTTCTTTTCTTCGCTCATCTT